TAGTACCTTCGTGAGTAACTTCGAGTGTGTGCCAAATATCAAAAGTTATTTCACAAATGGACACTTGATTAAACTCGTTTTTATCCAAAGCACAAAACAAGGCATTCATAGCCTTGACATTTAAAGCAAAAGTCTTCTTCTCCAACTCATTTCAATCAAAGTGAAGACTTTTGAAACCCATTTTCTATAATGTTCCATAATTCGAAATCTATGAAAATTAGAAAAATCCTCATTCTAGTCTTCCAATAGGTGTAATATGTTCCATTGAACATGGACGGATGTGTAATTGATTGACCCTCTTGGTTGCCGGCAAATGTCATCTCTCTTGGGTTTCAAACCAAATGAGAGTGACCTTGCTCTGATACCAATTGTTAGGATCAAAAGCGGCACTAAAAGGGGGGGGGGGGGGATTAATTAGTGCAGCAAAAAATCGATGATTTTAAAAAATATTTATTTTGATTAAATCCATTTCGGAAAGATATTAAACTTGAAGGCATTTGTAAGAGTGTAAAGAGAATGTTAAGGAAGATTGCAGTAATGTAAATTACTCAAATAGAAACGCAAACCAAAATTTAGAGTGGTTCGGTTATTGTGACCTACATCTACTTCTGATTCCTCCTCCGTCAAGGTCACCGGCGTCCACTAATGGTCTTCCTTCAATCGGCGAAGACCAACCACCTTTTACAGCTTTTTCTTCTTTTATCGGGTTTAGAAGATAACCCTTACAAGCCTCACTCCTCTTTCTTGGATGGTTACAAAGCTAAGAGAGGGAGGGGAAGACTCTTCTCACTTTTACAACACTTTAACACCCCAAGAATTCAAGATTATATTAACACTTTTGTGCCCTTTCATACAGAAAATGGTGGGGTATTTATAAGCCCCAATGACTTCAAAATTTGAGCTAAAAAGTGTCTCATCCCAATTTTTCAGGGTACTAGCAGTACCACCACCTGTCACTATGATACTAGGCGCTACCATCGCACAGTCTGGGCGGTACCACCGCTTAGCAGAGCTCGGAGACCGAGCTCTAGCGGTACTACCGCTAGCAGCATTAACTGTCGGTGGTACCATAGCCCAGTCTGGGCGGTACCACCGCCAAGAACACTTGGGAGACTGAGTCCCAAGCGGTGCCATCGTCGGTCGTAGTTTCAGGTACTGAATAGGCTGTTCAATCTAGCCCAATTCGATCCTATTAAGGGCCTAGTTGACCCCTAACTGAGTTAGTGAGATTACCTCCCAATCCTAACTCAATTTAAGTTCTAATTATAATAATTAAGATATTTAACAAAGCATTCTAGTTCTGGTACGTCAATTGTTCTTCCGGCGAGCTTCTAGCGATCTTCCAGCAAACTTCCAACGATCTCTCGATAATATTCCAGCGAACTCCCGGCAAGCTCTTGGACTTTACGATGATCTTCTTGGCGAGTTTCGACGAGTTTCTTTAGCAAGCTCCTGGACTTCTCGGCCAGTTCCGATAAAACTTCCGACGAACATCCGGACTTCCGACGAACTCTCGAACTCCAAACGAAGTCTCGATCTTGACTCCGACACAACATTTGCTTTATATCTTACTGCTATCGTAATTAATCCTATACACTTTTCTCAATATATAGATTAGATCAAACAATTTATAATTAATTTTATCATTAAAATTTGAGATTCAACATTCTCCATCTGGGTTCTTCGGCGGCAATCAATGTGTCATGGATCTAGGGCTAAAAAATTTCTCCTTTTCCTTTTTCTTGTTTCTTGCAACGGCATGTTGTTTGGTTAGATATCAATATTAGGGGAGGCGTGGCGAAGATGAGCCTTTCTTGGGCGACGGAGGTCATGTTCACGAATGACGATGATAGAGGTGACTGCATTGTTCTCATGCTCTTTTATTGTTTATGATTGGTCCATCTTGATTACATTTTCTATGATGACTTGCAAAAGTCTTGCTACTTTGTTTTCTTGAGCGCATTGTCAGATGACAGATTAGAATGGCTTCAGGAAGTTCTTCCCCTTTCGTACTAGAATTTCTGCAATCTCATGTACCTGAAGTAAGTAGGTAACATTATTCGGTCCACTCACCTTCCTCTGTACAAATTCAGGTATGCACTTTTTTATTATATTCAATGAGTGCTCTCTCTTCTTTTCTATACTGAGTTCATATCCTTTTGTATGATATTGACAAGATGTTGATCTTTCATGTTCCTACTGCCAGCACTCGTGCATGAGTTTTAAGCTAGACTCTGATCTTTTACTTCTATGTGGAACTGCAGAAGAATAGCTAATGAACTTGAATTTACAATAGGTAGATTTGGTAGTTGTATTAAGTTGAATACTTCCCCTGTTTCAAAATTCACCTGCTTTGAGTCTTCAGGTTTACAATTGTAAAATACGAAGCTAAGTTTTATCTTCAAACAGTTCTTTGTTTCACAGTTTCCGGCTTAAGTTGGTCTATTTTAAAAGGTGACTTGTTGTAACATAATGTAGGTGGGTGACTTGTTAACTTGTTTCTTGTTAATTGAAGTTGCTCTGGAATAACTAGAAACTCCATCTCAGATGTTATTTGCTTTTGAATAGCTAGAAGCTGCATTTCAGATGTTATGACACCTCATGTTGATAACATCTAATATAGGAGGTCTAGTTGGGTATAGTTGAATTAGGCGTAGTTATGCCAAATTGCCAATCCATGTGACTCTTGTTTTGAAGTTCTGTGGTAGGTGGGCTAGGCATAATTTTAATAATTGATGTGCAACCTATTTAGAGTTGCAATATTTTAATAATTCTATGGGGGGGAGGGGGAGCCTATTTAGAGTTGCAATATTCTGAGAACACTTTTACTTCTAAATTTGTTTGATGAATGATGATATCTCATCTTGTAATATCTAAGATAATTTTCCTAATATATTTGATAGATCAACATGTGTCATCATTTGATGGGACTACATAGCACCTTTAACTGACTTTTCTTTGAGGAATATGTTCATTTGGATGTGTCTCCTCCTTTGTTTGATGCATCTTCTCCGTGTCAACTTCTTTCTTCTCCTTCCCCTCACACTTTATTTTTTGAGTGGTTGTCAATTTGGCTCGAACTGGCTAAAATTGACCAACTTTGGTTAAGTTCGATTGGTTCAGACCAATCCCAACCAATTTACAAGGTAGAATCAAATGATATCATGAACTGAGTTACAAGGATCTGTTTGGACCAGGTCCAAATATAGAGCTACTGAGAGGATATGCCTCAACCAATGTTAGGTCAACCTCTAGACCATAGTCTTGAATGCTGTACTCGACGTGGACACATTTGTTAATCTCATGAGCCTATTGTCCCAGCTCTACTGATATACAAACATGGATCTCCAATTAGCATTCTAATAACCATTCTGGATCTGGCCGCTTATGTTTGCAGCAAATTTTACAAAGGATTCATTGTATGACCATTTTATGGACAAATAGCCTTTTGTGCAAAGAATATTGACATGAGAATAGAACAAAGGAAGTCTCTTCGATCCATGAATCCACAGTACATGAGTGGTATGTGCATTTCTGAAAACAACATGAAATCAACAGGCAGGGATTGGAGTTCAATGTATTTGGACTTGGTGGCTAGATTGACATGAAAGTGGGTCGGATTTGAGTTTTAACGAATAGGATCCAACTGACATAGTCGTGTCGATCTCTTCGTACATGGTCTTGCAAGTAAGACATTAATGTAGCGACGATAATGGGATGACAAGACTTGGTTGATGCGGTCGATGGCAAGTTGATCCAGTCCGTCTTGGCTCGATTCTAATGTCTGCTCTATCTACCGTCATGTTATATGGGTCAGATCAGATTTGCATATCTAATTGAAATAGGTTCAGATTATATACATCTCAATTGGAACAAGAATCTAATTTTGACCGGGTTGCTGTCTTCGATTCGACAAGTTGCACCGCCCAGCCTGCGTGCCATCCGAAAGGATATGATGGAATCGCATCATCACGCAGATGCGACACGCCGAGCTAATGTCAAATATATATAATTCACCACCTCAACGTTCACGGGTTGGCATAATGCACTCCGGTGCAGTCAAAGATTCGAAGCTTCTTAGATTCTTCACACACGGTCTTATTATTGTGTGGGAGAGACGAACTAAACGTGAGGGCAGGCGTATTCCCTTCCCTTTCGCCGTGAGTCGGACACGACTTTGGCCGGCTGTCACGAAGTCGTGGGCTTCCGCATCGGTTCTTCCCGCTCTGGGTCCCGCGCCACCGACCATACCCACCGGGGGCCCCATGTTCCATTATTCTTTCCTTGTTTCTCTCTTCTGGTCTTCCAGAAAATGAGAGGGAGATGCGCGCCGGACACGCCGCCGATCGCAACTTCGGCCACGACTCGACTCACGACGGATGGGCGGGTGCCTGTCGTCGCATGTGCCGCACCAATCCATCGCACGAGTTATGCCGCGACTCGTCCCTTTCCGATATCGTGCACCGAGTTGCGGGCACCACGAAAATCACGAGAACAGTGTACCAAATGTTGCACGAGATCAGGGCGATCCGTCTAATTTGATTCGGACCATTCGATTCCAATACGAATCCGAATAATGAACAGCCATGGATCTAAATGCAGCTTCTTCTTCTTGTGCAGTACGATCGCTGCCGATGGGAAGCACTTGATAACATCACAACGACCATCTCGTGAGTCGGATTTGGACAGCACCCCACAAATCGCAAGTGCCAAACGTATTGGGGAGCATGGAAGTGGCCGTCACTGTTGGCATGCCTCTCGAGGACGACGACGGTATCGGGATGTACTCACGCAGGACCGGAAGCACTCGGTAACTAACAGCGCCATGTGGTAGCGAACGAGGTGGGGCCCCCTCACTGCAGCCGGAGCGTTACGGTTCGCGCGCGCCACGCCAAGCCGGGTGGAGGCCCCCACTCCCCCGTCACGGGCAGCATTACTCTCGCGGCTTGGATGAATCACCCGAGAAATAAGTTCCTGCGGTAATGTGGTCGCCCAAAAGATCGACGTGTGTGCGACTCCACGCATGACGTTGCCGCAGAAACTATGCCGGCGTGTTTCAGCCGTTCGACTTACAGTTTTCCCCACCCTACCCATCACTTCTAATACTCAACCTCTGATCCAGCAGAAATTTCCCTTCTTTTCGATCTAGTTTTCCACTTCCCAATGCCTCGTCGAGCAAGGCAAATGCATTCATAGTTTCGTACGTGGCCTAATCATTCCTTCTCTCTCTCTCTCTCTCTCTCTCTCTCTCTCTCACACATTTATCAGTAAGTCGAGGAGGAAAACTTGGTTCTTATCCTTCGTGCCTGACCTCTCCTGGGGAGAAACACCTCTTCTCGTGGCTGTCTCTCTTGATCTCTTCCAGGGTCATTCTTCTGCATGCATGGAGATTTCCAACGCTCGCCATCAGGTAACAATGACGAACACCAGGCCCAAAAACCCTTTACAGTATCCAATAAGCTATCTTTTTCTTCTTGTAAATGAATAAACTAGGTTAATCTAGCTTCTCCTCCCCAGAGAGTATCCTCCTGTCTAACTCTTCCTACTTGATCCATGTAAAAGTTTGCTTCCTTTATGTTGGATCTATATGGTATCATGTTATTTTTCTCAATCTTATGAATAAAGATTGTTATACTGAGCTGAAATTTCTATGGCTACTCTATGACGTGATCCACAGGTGAGTTTGATTAGTTTTCTGTGTATGATTCTTTCTACTGAGGGGATTAATTTGGTCATGCAGTTTTGCTGATAGAAGTGGCGATTCCTACACCTATATTTCTTTTGAATCTTCCCTGTGTGGAGGCCATCACCTCTTTCAAAGAGATCTGTTGCTACTGAAGTAATCATTTTGCTGGTTTACCTTCTCTTTCAATTTGGATGATCTTTTCTCTTTTTGTGATAAGAGATTTTTCCTTGTATCTTAGGGTTTGCTCAGACATCCTCCACTACTGAACTAGAATTCTTCTGGAGAGAGACTTTTTCTCAGTTTCTGAAAGAAACTCTGCAGTAGAAATTGTTTCCGGCCTTATCCCTCTTTACTTTCCTAACATCGGTTCTGCTACAGTTCTCTCTCTCTCTCTCCACCCGCCCCCCCCCCCTTCTCTCTCTTGCAAGTGCTTATGCTAATATCTAGATTGATCATTCTTGTGTTTGATGAGTTCTTTTTTTGTTTTAGCTATTTGATTGGTCATATGCATTTTTTTTCCTTCTCTTTTGCAAGACATGATCTGGGTATCATTCTATATCTTCCAATTTCGACCTCAATTTCCATCTGATGTTGTGAATCTTCTAATGTTCTTCCTCTTCTTCTTCTTGTAAGCCATCATCTTCTTTCTTCTTGGATTTAGCCACTTGTTTTACTTCACATGCCACTTCCGATGCTTCTTTTGTAAAGGCTGACATCCCACTATAGCCCTTGAAATTAAAGTTGAAGTACACAATGTGGGGTTTGGTTCTAAGGACAGTCGTTCATGACTCCGTTTTCCAAATGCATGATGAAGAAGAATGGAAGTACAGAGAAGGATTAAAGAATTTGATAGTGAAAGGAAGCAGCTATAACTCAAAACTAATGTCACAACCGGTGTGGATGTTAATTGCTTCTTCTGTGCAGCCACAGGCAATGGCTAGCCATGGATTGACTCAGCAGCAACAGGATAGGAAGCTCACGCCTCATCCGGAGCAAGCCCTGAAGTGCCCCAGGTGTGCCTCCACCAACACCAAGTTCTGTTACTACAACAACTACAGCCTCTCCCAGCCCAGGTACTTCTGCAAGGGTTGCCGGAGGTACTGGACTCAGGGAGGCTCTCTCAGGAATGTCCCAGTGGGAGGTGGATGCAGGAAGAACAAGAGATCCTCCTCTTCCTCTTCCACTTCCCCTTCCTCGAAGAAGTCGCAAGAGCAAGACCTCACCTCTACCCACTCCAACCCACTACTCCCTACCCTCATCCCCCCACCTCTTTCATATGATCCAACTGACCTCACCTTCTCTTTTACTGGACTTCCAAAGCACCCACTCGCGAAGCAGTTTGGCCTGGAAGACAATAACCATGACGCTGACCCAATGCCATCTGCTCCAACCCCAACAAATGGTGGTTTCCTTGACATCCTGAGAACTGGTTTTGTTGACATCACAAGCCCAAGCGGCTTGAGCAACAACCTTTACTATAGCTATGGAATCCATGGCGGTCTGGAGATGGCAACTGGTGTTAGTAGGGAAGAGGGAGGACTCAGTGGCGCAACAGCAAGTGCAACAACTAGCCAAGGGTCATGCAAAGCCATGGATGGAGGGGATAACAAGGTGCGGACAGGTCTTCCATGGCAGGATGGAAACATGGATGCTTCAAAGGATTGCTGGGATGGTTTTGGTTCTTCTTTGCAGGGACTAATCAATAGCTCTGGGCTGTAAGAGGTGCAATTATAGAGGACCATATCCTTCTCTCTTTAAACTCTGGAAATGATGCAAAAATCTCTTGTATGGTCGATGAGAGAGTAATGATCCAATAATTATACACCAAAACTGAGATATTGCCATCGGTTTGCAGGAGCAAATATATATATATATATATATATATAT